GCTGACGTGGACGATCACGTGGGCGATCTCGCTGACGTGGACGATCACGTGGGCGATCTCGCTGACGTGGACGATCACGTGGGCGATCTCGCTGATGTGGACGATCACGTGGGCGAGTGCACACACAGAGATTACCACATGGTCAATTGCAAAAGTGAACGGCTTTTATAAGGAATAAATTGTATAAATTCTCTCTAAAAAAAAAAAGTGAACGGTTGCACTCAGGTGGACGATCGACTCACGTGGATGACCATGACCATGTCGACAATCGCTGCCACGAGGAAGAACACGTGGGCGATCGCTCTCTCATGTAGACGAGCACACGAGCACGTGGGCGATCGCTGACCACGGGGACGATTGCACACAGAGAGCGATCGCTCTCTCATGTACACGAGCACGTGGGCGACCACGTGGGCGATTGCACACAGAGATTACCACATGGGCAATTGCAAATGTGAACGATCGATTCACATGACCATGTTGACAATCACTGCCACGTGGATGAGCACGTGGGCGATCGCTCTCTCACGTAGACGAGCACGTGGGGGATCGCTGACATGGACGACCACGTGGGCGAACCATTGCGAAAGTGAACGATCGACTCACGTGGATGACCATGACCATGTCACAATCGCTGCCACGTGGACGAGCACATGGAGCACGTGGGCGATCGCTCTCACGTAGACGAGCATGCGGGGGTGATTGCGGATATAGACGGCCCAATGGACGACTACCTTCGTTGTATGGTCATTGTAGCTGTATTTAGACTGAAAGATAGCCCAAATTCAGCTATAGTGCCCGTATGTTGTATTCGGGGAAAGAACACACTTTGGTCTGACTGATACATCAGGAGCGACAGCAAGAACGGTCTTAAAACGGTTTTCAACTGCAAACCGTTTAATTGAGACATGAATGAAGACCGTGCGCTAAACATTGGGCCAGAACAATGTATGTCTGTACTCTCTCTCTCTCTCTCTCTCTCTCTCTCTCTCTCTCTCTCTCTCTCTCTTGCTTGTGCGCTTGTGTGTGTGTGGGTCTGTGTGCGTGTTTGTGTGTGTCAGGGAGCGGGGGGGGTGGAGAAGTGCGTGGGCAAGTTCAGAAGCCAACCCAACCCTGAGCTTTTTTTTTTTTTTTTCCGTTTCCAAATCAATTTATTATAGGACGAGAGGAAGTTAATTTGGGGGGTGTTTCAGAATTCGAGTGATTTGAAAAAGAAAGAATTGAGCAAGCCAGTGCAGATGTGCATGGGCTCTGCGGAAGGATGACATGTTTGCACAGATTGATAAATTTCAAGCTCCTGCTGGTTTTAAATCTTGCTGACAAACGCACAAGTCCTGTCGGCAGGCGAAAAGAACAGGTGAACGGACGCTGACAAGGTCAGGTGCTGAATGATTGATTGCCCGATTGGTGAGTGATTGACCAGCTGACACGTGGATTCACTGTGCGGCATTGGCCGCTCAAAATATGTGGCTGGCGAGTGGAGGCCGACCGCCTCACGAACATACGCTTATGAATAAAGTGCATTGATGCAGTACAAAGCAACCCAAGCTCTTGAATAAAACGCATCGACGCAGTATGTTTTTTTAAGCAATTAGCCCCAGATTGCCATGATGGCAGCTCTCACAGCTGATCGCTGGATTGACATTGATCTTCTCTTTCTCTCTCTTTCTCTCTCTTTCTCTCTCTCTCTCTCTCTCTCATACACACACTGATGCACACAGTGATGCACACACTGACGCACACACAGCCAGATTCATGGCAGTTATTGCAGTTGCTGTACCTGTTGTGCAGCTGATCGCCCTATTGGCATTGATCCTTCCTTTCTCTCTTTCCCTCCCTCTCTCTGTCTCTCTCTCTCTCTGTGTCTGTCTGTCTGTCTGTCTGTCCCTCTGTTTTGGATGCTGTGAAACACTCTGCAACCATGTTCAGAATGCTGCAATCAGGTGAGCAGCGGTACAGACGAGCGTGGAAGAATGTCCGCAGTTGGCTTATTGAAGCTTGGTCTGGAATAGCAGCGTAAGGAAAGGGCCCGGAATACACAGACTTAAACAGCCTCGAATGGGATAGGAACGGTCCACTGGTTTGATTCTGGAGGGGGAAGAAAAGAACAAAGACCGCGACGGACGATGTGGTCAGGCTCTGACAGACTCTTCAGGGTACTGAAGTGTCGACAGGCTGCAGAATTTGGGTACTACTGATACTGATAATTTGAGGCACGACCTGCTTCGACCTGTGTATTTCGGTCGACTTTTCGGTCTAGATACGGCGATAATGATTGTGCGGTCTATGCGGGTGAAGACGCTAGCAAGGCAAAGCAGAAGGTGAATCAATGGAGCGGTGGGCAGGTGGGTAAGCAAAATGGCGAAAAGCAAAGCGACAAGGGCAAGTAACAGGCACGTATGGAATCTGGCAAGCAGGCGGAGGGTAGGCACGGAATTCGGCAAGCAGGCAGAGGTCACCATGGAATTCGGCCAGCAGGAATAGGGCAAGCGGGCGCCGGGCAGGGACAGAACTTGGCAAGCAGGTTCCGGGCAGGGACAGAATCCGGCAAGCAGGCTCCAAGCAGGGCCAGAATCCGGCGAGCAGGCAGAGTGTAGGCACAGAATTCGGCAAGCAGGCGGAGGGTAGGCACGGAATTCGGCAAGCAGGCGGAGGGTAGGCACGGAATTTGGCAAGCAGGCGCCGGGCAGGGACAGAATCCGGCAAGCAGGCGCCGGGCAGGCACATAATTTGGCAAGGAGGAGGTTAGGCACGGAATTCAGCAAGCAGGCAGAATGTAGGCATGGAATTCGGCAAGTATGCGCCGGGCAGGGATGGAACTTGGCCAGCAGGTGCCATGCAGGGACAGAATCTGGCAAGCAGGCTCCAAGCAGGGACAGAATCCGGCAAGCAGGCGACGAGCAGGCACAGAATTTGGCAAGGAGGGGGTTAGACACGGAATTCGGCAAGCAGGAAGAAGGTAGGCACGGAGGACGGCAAGCAGGCAGGCAGAAGGTAGGGACGGAGGACGGCAAGCAGGCGAAGGGTAGGCGTGCAATTCCGCAAGCAGGCAGAGGATAGGCACGGAATTTGGCAAGCAGGATGAGGGTAGAGGGATGGAATTTGGCAAGCAGGAGAAGGGTAGGCATGGAATTCGGCAAGCAGGCGCTGGGCAGGCATGGAGTCCGACAAGCAGGCGGTGGGCAGGCACAGGATTCAGCGACGGAATCTGGCAAGCACGCGCCGGCAGGCACAGAATTAGTAGAGCAGGCAGCGTCAGCCTAGGGCCGCAAAATGGCCAACAGCAAAGCAACAAGGCAAGCAACATGCAGGTACGGAATTCGGCAACGAGGCGGAGGGTAGGCACGCAATCCGACAAGCAGGCGGAGGGTAGGCGTGGAATTCGGCAAGCAGGCGCCGGGCAGGGACTGAATTCGGCAAGCAGGCACCGGACAGGTACAGAATTTGGCAAGGAGGCGGTGGCAGGCACATAATTAGGCAAGCAGGCAGCAGGCAGGCATCAAATTCAGCATGCAGGTGGTGGGCAGGCACCAAAGTCGGCAAGCAGGCGGCAGGGAGGCACAGAATTTGGTGAGCAGGCGGCCGGCAGCTCGCCAAACACGCAAGCTTCATCGAGGCAAAGCTTGTGTGGCAAAAGCAAGCATCATGTTGTGTAGATTTCAGGGGCATTCGAGTGCGCAACATGCTCTGAAGTCTTTGCTTGGAGCAAAGTTGTGTCGCCGGGACGACACACAACTGGCATGAGATGTGTGTGTGGCATGGAAGAGACTCTGGACAGACTGTAGGGCTGCAATAATGTAGAAGACCTGCCTGACTAACCCAGTGAATAAATCAGGAAATTACATCTTTTTTTTCTTTTTTCTTTTTTTTAATTACATCCTTGTAAATGACGAAGAGCTGAAGAAGAATAAGGATGGACACGAAGAACCCAGTCCTCTGGCAGAGGGGGAGAGAGAGAGAGAGAGAGAGAGAGAGAGAGAACAGAGACGGAGAGAGAAGGGGGGGGAAGAGGGGGAGAGAGAGAGAGAGAGAGAGAGAGAGAGAGAGAGAGAGAGAGAGAGAGAGAGAGAGAACGGGACTGAAGTATGTGTGGTTTGTACACTCGACGGTTTCTTATGCTCTCTTTGTTAACTTTTTTTGTGACTCTGCTACCTTCTTCACCCGAATATAACTTAGGGTTACCCAAATGCAGCCAGCTATAATGCCGGTACGACATGCCAGACTGACTTCTTCGCCCGAAGTCAGTCTGAAGTCTGCACTGCCATGCGGGAACAGTGTATAATACACAGGAGTGGTGACCTTATGCTCTGCAAAGCACCACTGCTTGTGGCCCTTTTATTTTTCTCCTCCTTCCTCCYCCCCCCCCCCCCCCCCCCCGCCTCTCCTTGTTTTTCATTTCTATTTTTTTAATACATAAGGGCGATGGCCTTGAGATATCATCATTGAGCTGATGGGCCCAAGGTAATTCAGAATGATTTTATTCTGGCCATCTGATCGTGTCTGGATTCGAACTTGGATCTGTATTTCAACAGTTCGCGGGTGTACCAACTGAGCTAGGCCCTTTTATTTCTTACGTCCTTTCTTTACTTTACTTGCCTTAACAAGTGAATCTGGTCAGTTGGCCACTGCACTGTCATTTATGTGCCTTCAGCAACCCTTAGGAAATTATGAAATTGGTTGGTGGACGTCCTTAAAAACTCTGTTTTCATTTGGTGCTGAAAATGCGATTTAGTGTCCTTCGGGACATCCGCTAAAATTGGATCGACACACAGAAGATTAGCATCGTCCAAAAAAAAAAAAAAAAAAAAAAAATTGATTTAGAGAAATGAGAACGGAATTGGTTCCAAAGAGAGAGACAGCGAATCAGGCCGGCCGGCAAGAACGGAGAGAGAGAGAGAGAGAGGTAAAGAGTTGGTGGGTGGCAATGGCTTTGGTATGCAGAGTAAACAGGAAGACAGACAGACAGATAGGGCGACAGACAGACAGACAGACCGGCAGGCAGACAGACGTGCAGACAGACTGATGTGCAGACAGACAGACAGACAGACAGACAGACAGACACACAGACAGACACACAGACAGACAGAGACACATCTGTCTGCCTGTCTGTCTGTGTCTGTCTGGCTGACAGTCAGACCGTCTGGTAGACAGGCAGACACACAGACAGACAGAGACACCGACTGTCAGACAGACAGGCAGACAGACCGTCTGGTAGACAGACAGGCACACAGACCGACAGACGGACAGACAGACACACAGACAGACAGAGACAGACAGACAGACAGACAGACAGACAGACAGACAGACAGGCAGGCAGACAGGGAGGCAGGAAGACAGGCAGACAGGCAGACAGAAAGACATACAGGCAAACACAGGTATTGGGCATCAGCAATGGCTTTGGCAGCCAAACTAAACAGACAGACAGACAGACAGATGCACACAAACAGAGGTCAAGAGTTGGGGGCGTTGGCACTGACTTTGGCATGCAGACTTAACAGACAGACAGACAGACAGATGGACAGACAGACGGACAGACAGACAGACATGCAGACAGACGAGCAGAATGTACGACAGACAGGCAGACAGACAGACAGACAGACAGACAGGCAGATGGGACGACAAACACACAGACACAGTGAAAGAATAGGGTGTGGACAATTGCTTTGGCACAGTAGTTGGCAGCAGCCTGGGTGGGGTTAATGTCGTGAAACGTTCACCACCTCTCTCTTGGATGGTGGACGTGTGTGGAGGTGAGAAGAAGGGGGAGGCTGGGTGTACAGCAGATGTTTAAGCGGAAGACGAGGAGGAAGATTGTCAGAGGATAAGTGTTATGGGAAAGTAGCGAAGAAGGATGATGTTGATCTGGAGGCAGGTAGGAACAGAGAGAGAGAGAGCCTGGTGGAGCTGGCCTTTGTGCCGAGGTGGAAAGAAGGGAGGTTGGGTGTGGGAGGTGGAAGGGAGGGAGGTTGGGTGTGGGAGATGTTTAGCAGTTGATTGGCAGGAGGGAGGTTGGCTGATATCACAGTGGTGGGCTGAGGGAGACATCACAATGCCTGGAAGCAGCTGAGTTTGGCTGGCAGCTATGGTTGTCGGCGATGAGTGTCGCAAGGCATTGATATGCACGGAAAAAGCATGGAAGCAAGTGGTTGAGGTGCGACCGACGTGGTTTTTAAACTTTTTTTCTTTTTCTCTTTTCTTTTCCCATAGCTCCGGTTAGGTTCTTGACCGGAATAGAACGGCGGGCCAGAATCGCTCATCTTAAAATACGACGGTAGCCTCCCGATGAGACGATGAAACGCCTAACGCTCATCTTAAAATACGACAGTAGCCTCCTGTTGTGTCGGTGAAACGCCGACAGAACATTTTGTCGCAGCCCCCCGTTTGTTGTCCTCTTCTCCCTCCCTCCCTTTCTGCCTACGGTTTACCTGGTGGTTCTCTTTGGCGAATGTAATGTAATGACAGGGGGTTCTGTTTATGAGAAGACGAGGTTGAGGCACTACCACGGTTTTTTTCAGAGCTTACCGTCTTTCGCCCGAGTAGAACGCCCGACCGTTATCGCTCATCTTAAAAGGAAATAATGTTGTCTCCTCTTCTCCCTTTCTGCCTACGGTTTACCCCGCAGCTCTGTTTGACTATGTATAGCTTGATGCTGATCTTCCCCGACTACAGCCAGAGGAGTGTAATTATACTTTGGAAGGAGGCTTTGCCGTTGCTGTCCTCCGAGTAGCAATTAGCGACCGTCAATTTGAACAACGCAATGCTCGGGCAGGTGAGTGGTTTAATCCTCCGTCCCACATCTCGGCCTGCATTGTGCGCGTACCTGGCCATTATATTGCCATTGTACATGCATCTGACCACTGGGAGCTGTGTGGGACAACGGCAGCATGGTCCATGCCATGACTGATGTTCCTTTTTTTTTTTTTTTTTTTTTTTCCTGCTACGAAACTTCTATCTGATTTCTTATTACATAATGATGCTGTTAGCTTGCCACACCGAACTGTCCGCCATCTCTTTTTTACGTCCAAGATCATTCATTCCGCAGGCCCCGTGCTGCAGCAAGACAATGTACCAACACTCTGCGACCTTTTCCTTTGCACGGCTGCAAACACTGTTGCACTCGGCTGTAGCTGCCGTCGTCTCTGTCACACACATCAAACTGTCCGCCATCTCTTTTACGTCGAAGATCATTCATTCCGCAGGCCCTGTGCTGCAGGAAGACAATGTACGAACACTCTGCGACCTTCTCCTTTGCACGGCTGCGAACACTGTTTCACTCGGCTGTAGCTGCCGTCGTCTCTGTCACAATCACTCCACCAACGACATGGTTTCTGCATCCTTGTGTGCGGAGGACTGTCCCTCCGTTCCTGACTGCAGGCACCGTCCGCATCCGGACACTATATGTCCATTTTGTGACCGTTGGCGCTATCTTCTGAATGCATGGTCTTTTGTGGTGATCGTTCTTCCTTTCATTTTGGCCTGCAATCGACATGCCATTTGTCGCGGGGTGTATGGCGGGCATGCTCGATGCCAGGCGCTCTGGCAATTGTTGTACTGAGAATGCTCACGTTACAATGTATGTCCTCTCTGTCGTCAAGGACAGACTCATTCTTGAGCCTTTCGTTATCTTGTCGTCAAGGACAGACTCATTCTTGAGCCTTCGTTATCTTCTTTTCCCTTCGTCTTCACTCCACACTCCGTACTTTCCCTTACTTTCTCCTTTATCGCTCTTTGTTTTGTTTGTCATCTCTCCATCTCTCTTCCGTGTGTTTATCCCCTCCCGCCCCCTTCACTCTGCCTCTTTCTCACAGCGTACAAGTGAGTCGTTATGGCACACACGGGGATGGGGGCGGCTCTCGCTCAACTTCATCAACGTGGCGAGCCTTGTACGTGAGAGGCACAGTGTAGGGGGAGTTAAAAAAAGAAGAATGAGAAATCGAACGGTTTCGATGTTGCCTTGTTTTTTTTTTTTTTTTTAATCCTTTCTTTTGCAAAATTCGCTCGTTTTAGTACATAGTTATGCGACAGTATATATTATAATAATTATATAATGACAGCATGTTCTATTCAGGTGAAGACGAGGTTGGGGTGCTACAAGGGTTTTCAGAGCTTGCATCCGTCTCCTGCTACCTTTCCCGCAGAACAGAATGTG